GACCCTTAGAGCAAGGCGTGGTGCTTCTTTTGGGGGCACACCTTTGGCTGTGGGTCTGTGCTGCTGTCCTTTCCAAGCCCCAGGTCCTGTACCCTCAGGCCACAGCACCCTGCTTTTGAGTGTGAGGAAGGCAGCAAGGGCAATGAAGAACCCTCAAGCACCACTGCTGAGACATGGCTGGTCTGACAGACACTGTTGTATATGTTATGTCTTGCAATGACTCTCTCCTCCTCCTCCTTTAGCCTAATGAGCACCATACCCACAGTTATGCTGGCCTATTTTCTGATTATTAAATTCAATTCTGCAGAGAAGCATATGGCAAATGGGAAAAAAAAAGAGGTCAGAAAGGATGTGCAAAACTGTTCATGAGGTTGCATTTCTTTCAGGGAAATTGGTCCATAAGTATCAGTAAGATATTAATGTAAAACATTTTAAAACATAGCTGATTTCAAAGTGGCTAGTTATGAAACATAGTCATTAATTACTTGTTAAAAGTTAATACAAACTCCCTGCTTTTTAATAATAATGTTACAAGAGGCCAATACTTTAAAAGGGCCTCTGATATGCCTTTTTATGATATGTCACTTTATATGCTGACTTCTGTGTAATCATTGCTGTGCTATGCTATTTAGACTCCACTTACTTTAGATTTTAGATTGTACTTACATTTCCATGAATGTAAACATTTTGTAAAATCTCATCAAATTCACATGGACCAAAATGCAGAATTTCAGACACACAGCAAGCTGGGGTCTCTGGAAAAGTACAGGGTTAGGAAAACACAAAGAAACAAAAATCATGCTCCTAAACGTTCTGCTGGATGAAACACTACTGGCAGTGCTACCGGCTTTGATTGTAGGGGTAGGTGTAACCAGGACAGGTGTGCACCCTCCTTCCCTCCCCTCCAGGAAGCAAGGGAGCTCAAACACGAGCAGGCTGAGCCTCTCGGGGCTGTGTGACCGATCCGAGGAGCCACCAGCCCGCGCCACGGAGGAGAGCCAGCCCCAAGCTGCACACAGCTTTGTTACGCTGCCATTCCGGAACACAAAGGAAAGCGACGCTGCCATCAGCAAGTCACCAGCTTATCTACAAGAATTACAGATGCAGCTACCGGCGTGTCTGCTCCGAGCTGCCGGGGCTGGGGGCAGCCTTGCTGTGACTCTCCTGAAAAAAAAACCAAAACGGGTAGGCAAGGGGAAAACTGGCCAACATCTCTCGTTATTCCAGGCCAAGGTAGTTCCCAAAGAGGTCTTGCTTGGTTCCCCCAGCCTGATGGAAAAAAATACCATACGATTCTGACTACAAGGAAATCTTAGGATAATAGTGCATAAAGAATAACCTATGGTTTGGAAATACCACCTTACTCGAGATATTAAAAATATCTAAAATAAACCGCTTAACAGTTAATTTTGCTTTGTAGCAAAATTTTGTTCATACTTTCTTTTTCCTGGACTCGAATGTCGCTCTTTAAAGAGTGAAAAGAGGCACATAAATATTCCCCTCCAGAAGCAATCATAGTTAGGAGCATCCTCTGATGCTGTCAAACAGTTATTTTTATGTGTAATTGATGCTGGTGATCTAGCACTGACAAATCCTTATTCTATTATTTTAGTCATACATACAATATGAATGTACCTGTTACATTCATGTGTTGGGAACACAGAAAAAGCTCTTCTACAGTGTGTTAGCCATAAAAAAAGGATAAATGCTTTTAACAGTTCCAGAAGAGTCTAAAACGGATACTTTTTTCTTTAGCCTGATTTTATTTCATTGTCCTGTAAGACATGCATATTTCTTCAATGTTAGCCACTTTTCTCAAAAGTACTGTTCCATGCTGCCGCCAGAATTCACTCCTTTGAGAAGCACTCCTCAAAATACCGGGTTTTGTAATTCTTTCAAAAATTGTTGCACTATTTTTGCCTAAAGATCCAATCTGAGTGTCTCTGCATAATACAGATCCTTGTTCAAATAGTTGCTCTTTAATCACAGAAATACAGAAGAAATAGAAAACAACATTGGGTGGTTTACTCTGTGGAAACAGAAAGTCTGTAGGGAGGTCGTTGCAACATTAAACTCCTGTGTAGAGAATCAAACTGTTACTAAAATTCTCCAGGATGTTTGAGGCAGCCTGAACTATGGATCAGGAAATCTATGGATCAGGAAAACTATGGATCAGGAAAACTCTCGACAGGAGTTTCCTGTCGAGAAACTCCAAGAAACTGTCTTGGAGTTTCTCGACAGGAGTTCATCACTTCAACAGCCTGGAATGGAGCCTTGGTGGAGATGTTGTTTTGTACAGTGCAAAGGAGGAAGAGTAACTCAGTTCAAAACATGTACGGTTTTCTAGTAAGCATCAGTTTCAGGTATAGCAGATGAATAATCTTCTGTGCAAGAGAGGAAAAGGATGTGATCAGGGCTGAGGTTTAGTTCACAGGGGAGGTTCTGTAATGCAGATCTTTCTACCTTGTGGCTGAGCATACCTGTTACACTGAGTTACCTCACCCTCATCTAGCAATTGTTATTTTCCTTGTTGACCAAAACCAGATCTCATGAAGTGCAACTTGAAGGATGAAAATAAATTACAAAACCTAAATTGTGAAGGGACTGGGTAGCCATTTTGGTGGTGGCAGCCATCTTGGGGCAGAATAGATTCAAAATAGCTGAATTTCCAGAAATGACTAATATTTTTCAGATGTAATATTTTAAAGATAATCTTCCCAATTGTCAGCTACTCCATTAGAATTAGAGGAAGGTTATAGCTATCTACCACAATATGACAATATGACATGTAACTGTAAGAGGAAACAATTTCTGCAGCATGTTTTTTGCTCGTAACTTATGAAACCCCAGAGATTAAAAAAAAAAAATAGCTACTATTAGAAACCCCTTTTCAAGGCCATGAGGTAAATCAAGAACATACAGTGTAGGAATGCCCACACTTGAGACCTTGCTCCAAGTTTAATACACAGTTAAGTCCGGAAATTTTAAGTACTTTCACATAGAAAGAGACTATAAAAACACACAAGTACGTTGCCTTTAAGTAGAACACCGAGCCTCACTTGGCACATAAGCCAACTGCATTATTTGAGGATGAAGGTGCATTTGTGATTTATTTCCCAGCAAGAGATTTTTATCACTTAGGACCTCATTACGGTGGCCACTGCTCATTTTTTGAATTTTGACCCTGAAGAAGCACTAAGGTAGTGCTAGGAAGCACAAGGAAGAGGGAAGCTGATATTTGGCGAGAAAGGATGACAGAAACAAGGATGTCAATTGCTCCAGTGCACAACGGAAGTGGGACTCGATGTGGGACACATGGGAAAGGGATCTGGTGATAAGGGAGGTGGAGAGTATCATTAGAACACTTATCTTGGCGATTTTATTTTTCCCTGCTGAAGCAGAGTAAAGGCTGGAGCGACCAGAGAGCAGCAGAATAAAGGTGCACAAACCCTCAAGGTTTAAACACAACCTCGGCAACAAGATTGATGAGCACGGCTCGTGGATTAGAAACGAGGGAAAACGACAGCAACCTTAGAGGCTGGAGACAGCACGTAGCGAGCAACAGGATGCGAGTCTGATGCGGAGCGAGCACTTTGCTGCTGCTGCGATTTATGACATCCCCCCACGACAGGGGGAAACCGCGCGGGATGCGGAGCAGCGAGGGAGAGGAAGCCGCCAGTGGCTGCACTGAAGGAGGGCTGGCGGCGGTAAAGTTTGGGCAATCAAAGGTCAAAGAGGCGGACGCGAGGCAGCAGCGCTGCAAAGTGACTCAGCCGGCCGAGACATCCGCCGGGGAGCGGCGGGCTGCCCCGCGGGCGTGGGCTGTCCCCAGCCTCCAGGGCTGATACATCCTCGTTTTCTCTACGTGTCAGATCTGTGAGCCACGCAAGCCCACGGCGTGATTTGGCAGCGTGGGCGCGTTTGTGATTTATTTCCTCCGTGAGAGATTTTCTTAGTCAGAACCCCCTGACAGTGGCCGCTGCGCATTTCTGGCCCTGAAGATGCGCTGAGGTAGCCACAAGGAAGAGGAGAGGTGATATTTGGTAAGGAAGGATGACGGGACTTGTGGCAGTAAGGGTAGGGCTCCAGTGTATCTCGGAAGAGGCACTCGATGCGGGACGCATCGGAAAGGGATGCGGTCACAAGGGAAGGGCTAAGTACCCGCCAGGAAAACTTATCTTGGAAATTTCATTTTTCTCTGCTGAAGGTGGAGAAAGGCTGGAGTGACGTCCAGCGGCTGAGCTCCCGCGCCGGGGGAGCAACAGGCGGAGCGGCGGTGGGGACGGAGGGCCCGCTCCGGACATTCCCGCCCCCCGGGACCGTTAGGGCCGTTACGCCTCTCCCGCTCTCGGACCGATTCAAACTCGGCAGCGGCGCCGAGCGGGAGCGCGGCCCCTCCCGGTGCCCGCCAATCCTCTCTCCTGCCTCCCTCCCTCCCCTTTCCCCTCCCTCTCCCCCTTCCGCACGTGAGGCGGCCGCAGAGTTTCAAGCCTCCCCGGCGCGGCGCGGCCCCGGGCCCGGCCCCCCCCTCGCCCCGCCCCCCGCCGCGCCCGATTGGCCCGGCGGGGCCCCGGCCGCGTCCGTCCGTCCAATGGGGGCGGCGCTCGGCGCTCGCCAATGAGCGCGATGGCGATTGGGCCGGCGTGTTTGGCGCTCGGTCCGGGAGGGTGAATCCGGCAGCCGGAGGCGGAGGGAGGCAGAGCGGGAGCGCCGAGCGGAGCTGGCGGTGGCACCGGCGGGAGCGGCGGCGGCGCGGAGCCGGAGCGGCGGGGGGGCGGGTGAGTGAGCGGGCGAGCGAGCGAGCGAGCGACACCTCGCGGGCTTGAGGCGGCGGCGGCGCCGGCGCCGGGAGCGGCTATTTATACCCGGGTCCTTTGTCATGGGGGAGGGGAGGAGAGGAGGGGAGGGGGCGGCAGGGAGGATTAGAGGGCAGGATGGGGGCGGCGGCGGCGGCTCCCGGGTAGCAGCCTCGTCTCCTTCCCGCGGGGCCGGCGGGCAGACACGCGGGCTCCCGGCCGGTGACAGCTGGAAGGGGGAGACATGGAGTCTGGAGTGCCCTTTGTCTAAGTTGGCTCCGTCCAGCCCGGCCGGCGGCTGCGATCCCCGCCCGGCGGGGCGCAGACCCGGGCTGGGGGCGAGCTCGCCGTCACTCCTCGGAAGGGCAGGAGGGAGAACGGGGCGCAGACCCGGCGATTCCCTTCCCCTCGTCTCCGCTCCAGCCGGCGGCACGCGGCGGCTCCGGCGCGGGCAGAGGGAGGTGTGCGTGTGTGTGTGTGTGCGGGTGTGCGTGTGTGTGAGCCCGGCGCACGGCGGGCAGGGGAAATCCGTGTGCCCGCCGTGGGCAGCTCGGCACGCAGCTCGTCCCTCTCCTCCCGGGAGGCTGGGACAGGTCCGCCCGGGCTCCCGGAAGCCGGGGCCGGCCGGGCGGGGAGGCTGAGCGCGCCCCGGGCCGCCCGCCCGCAGCCGCGGGACGGCAGGGCTGGGCTGGGGGCTCCCGCCGCGGCTTTGGGGCGCTCCAGGCTCAGGGAGGGAGCTCAGGAGGGGCCAGGGGGGAGCTCAGTCTGGCGGCCGCTCCGGCGAACTTCCTAATCGTGGAGAACACTGTGCGATCCCGATCATCCGGAGCGCCGCAATAAAGTTCATAAATAGCTGAAAATTCGGGAGTTTTGTGTTTCATATCGCCAAACAGGGCGATACGGAGCACTGTTTAAAGACAGGGTGTCTGGGGAGGTGCGAAAGAGAGTACCGGGCTGAGCTGTCTGAGAGCAACAAATGTGTGGTTGAATAAAGAAATCGGTGTGTTGTGGCATCATGCACATGTATTTAACATTACCAGGTCTTCGAGGTGATACCAAAATTGTTATTCATGCACGAAAGAAAAGCAGTGCGTGCACAAAATGTGTGGCAGGAATGGGACAACAAACTTGTATGTTTCTCGAGATACTTATTTCTAACTTACAAAGCACCATACTGATTTTATTGGAGCAAGAGAAAAGTTTTTCGTTTTTAAAGCTGGAAGTTCTTGTTCTCTCCGATGAGAAGCATTTAACAGTGAGGAGAAGGTAATTTAGTTCTAGCAGGATGGGTTTGTCTTTGCTTAAGTCTATCAACTCTAGTTTCAGCTATTGGAGTTTGGTTCTTACTAATACAGATTTCAGCGAAGAGTTTTTACCAGCACGTTTAGTGTAATCTTCACATCTGAGTGGAGATTTTTCTCAAAGATTGGTTAAGATTTTTTTTAGAGGTTGGCCCATTCAGATTCTTTATGCAATTTATAAAAATTTAAAGGCCATTCTTTGTTTGTCCCCAAATATCAAATTGAGAGTCCAGGGAATGTTTATTTGTTGTAACAATAAAGCATCTGCAGAAGGGTGAGTATTACTTGTGCATAGTGTGCTATAGCTAGTCTCACTAGTGATTATTAAAATGTGCATATTTGAAAGCTACTAAGTCTTTCAGAAAACACACTTCCAGTATTTTAGGAGATGTGACTCAGAAGTTTTCTGTGATGTGTTGAATGTTTTTAAGAGCTAGTACTTTACAAAGTACTGGATAAAAAAGGTCACATTTCTTGTTCTGGAGTTTCCTTTACAAGAAGAAAAAAAGGAAAAATATTTTTTTCCTTTCCTCTGCCTCCACGAGAAATGAAAGTAACAATTAAAGTTAAACAACCTGTGCAGAAATCTGTGACAGTATAATGTTCCATGAGATGCCAACTGCTATTTTTGTCTGGAACTTTGGAAGGATTCAAGACTTTAATTTAGGAGGAAAATTGGGAAAAACTTTTGGGTTCTTTCATAGATTTTTTAATATGTAATTTCACCTTGAAAAGTGGCAGACACTGGAAATCTACACCTTCAAATAGTCATAAAATGTCACTGCTCAGTTTAAAACGAGCTGAAGTGGTAGTGTGTAAGTTTAGGCCAGAGACTTGAAATTCAAGCTCAACTTTTTTCCCCCATGCTGTGTTTTTTCCTTTCTTGCTAAAATTGCCAACAAGCTGAAATATGGTGATTTCTTTGAAGACATACTTTCAAATTGGTTTTTGTTTGTTCTGTAACATTGCAACCTTCATAGGTGAAATGTAAATATTCCTGTGCTACTTCTTACCTGCAAAGAAACTTTGGCTTAGGGAGAAGGGAATTTTTCTAGTGTATTAATTGAATGCATGAGCTGTATTAGATATAGAGAGAGTGCAAGACCCATTCTGTAAAGAAGCTTATGTCAGAATAAGCTACATCTACAATCCAGTGCAGGCCAGCAGTGCTCCCAGGAAAGTTAGTGCACTCTAAAATTCCTCTTGCAATTAGTCAAAAGAAGTGTTCTGTCACCATTCATGAGACCGTTCAGCTTCTGTAGCTGTATAGATCATGGATGCATTTTAGTAAGTTCACAGTTGTAATGGTGAAACTGAATAACAATTTTAGATGATGGTTCTATATTCATGTGATTGAACAGTGAGAGTTGTTTTTAAAAATGGCTGCAATATTGACAGAAGGCACATTTAATAAATGTCTGCTTTACGTTGTGTTTGAGCAAAAGTGCGGTGGAAAAACTTTAGTGTTGGCTGTAATCTGGAAGTTCTGTAATTCTACTCTTAGGACTTACAGATGGATCTTAGCTGACTTGAGGAAAAGTATCTGTGCAACTTTAGGGGGAATAACATTTTCCCCAGCAAGGATGCTGAAGATCTCAGGAACAGAACCAGAACCTGGCCTTTGCTAAGCAAGGAAGTTCACTGAGCCGTTAAAGTAATTTTGGCAGTATTACTTAATCAAGCAAAATTCACTTTACCAGATTTTTTTAAAGAGTGAAGGAAATGGGCTGCATACTGTAAATATAATTCTTAATGATTTGCGTAACACATTAACAAACAAGACCACTGTTAAGAGAAGCTGTAGGACAGTAACAGGAGGTTTATTTTAATGTTGGAGTTACTTCCAGCCTTCCGTTCCTTCCGTTAGCGAGGTCCATGGAGAGCTGTGCGGGGCCTGTTGAAGTGGTGTCTGATTGAAGACAGCATCTGTAAATGTATCTATCTATAAATGTATCTACACATTTAACACCTAAGTGTATGATTTGTACAACTGTTCCGGGGTGGCTAGGTCAGTCTTTACATGGATGAGTTACTCCTGTACTGACATAGTTTAAGGAATAATTTTAGTTAAAGTAGCTATGTCTGCTAGGAGAACAGTTAGGCAAACTAAAATCTTGTATAAAATGTATCCAAACCAGCAAAATCTTGTGTAAATTGTATGCAGAAGAGAGAGGCGTGCTTCACAGGGGAATGGTGACAACACGTGTTACAAGTTAGTCAAATGCTCAGGTTTATTTTTTAGCTGAGTATATGCCCAAGGGTTTTGTTGAGCTAAAGATTAAAAGGAAAACAATGTACAGAATTACAAAGCAGGTATTCTATCTGTTCTCAGAGAGATCAGTTAAAGACTTTGGGATGATAGTGTGTAGGTCTATTTATGGATGAGGTGAAACTAAAAATAAAATTTATTGAGGGATGGTTCTATTGCTCTCCAAGCAAGAAACGGAAATTTTCTAAAACATGCTGCTTTCTGTAACTGATAGTAATAGGCAGTTTGATTATACACCTAGATTTCCACTAAGATGGATCAGACTGTGGACTTGGTTCTGAATTAAGAGGTAAAGTAACACTACTAAACTTGACTAGAGACAACTATTAAGAAGAATGAAAGGTGTAATTTGCATATGAAATTGATAAATTAAGCTTGCTTAAAAATACTTAAAAAGAAAGGAATTTTAAAATATATAATAAATTATTTAGCCACAGGTTTGTAATTTAAAAATACTGGGAGAGAAGAGGATGTCTATTAATGTCCTTGCTGTGTCCACAAAAAAACAACCAAATAAACGGCACTCACCCCCAAATTAGTGTGGATCACGCTCTTATTTAAGAAAGCTTTTGGCTGAAGCTTGGACATAGGATTTTTCATTTATTGTGCCTGTTTGTAAAAACTGCTGTTGACTTGGAATGATTTATAATGCATTCTCTCCTTCCTATCTAATGGTAAAATCAGTAGTACTCTTAAAGTAAGAAGGCCATTTGGACATTTAGATACATACTGTGCGTGATCTGAATGCTGTGGATAAAAATAACAGTGTAATGATATGAGTGGATCAGCACAGTGTTGTCATTTGCTTGAAAATGTGATGTAGTACTTCCAAAGCTTCTAATTGGGATATATATGATTTCATTAGCAAATGAGGTAAAACTGGTGTCTTACTGTGTGCAAATATAGACTTCCTTGATACACAATTACAGAATATTTCAGAATTTGCTATTAGTTTTCTTTTTTTGTATATACATATGGTGCCTGCTTGAATAACATTGTATGTGTAATTATGCTAGCAAAGTAGTACAAATTGCAGTTCACGTTCTAGGTTTTTTTGGATATGAACTGAAAATAAATCTTTACAGGAGGGTATGATTTCTTTATATTTTTAAATTGTTTTTTTGATCTAGAACCAGGCCTATTTCCCTTGTCAGTTATTTGTTGCATCTGGCTCCTTTCCATTCTGCCTTTTACAAGGTTAGTTCAGTTTTTCCTGCCATGCATTCTCTATTCACAGCCTGCATGTTCAGTTTAAATCCCAAAGCCATCAGATGTAATTTAAAGAAACAAAATATTTGAAAGGAAGAAAACTCAAATCTTATAACTCATATATAATTTTAATATTTTTTTAATGTGTGCTGGTTTCCTTTACATGTTTCTTAACATGAGTGGATCTGGCAAGCTTTATATTTTTGGTGTGTAGTTTGATTTCGTTTTTGCTAATAAGAAAAAAATTCTGGAGCTGGAATTAATTTTGCTGCTTCTGTAAGAAGTCGTATGTGTGTTATAGATACTTGATTTACCCGTGGAACTGTACCATGGCAAATGAATTACAGTTGGTATTATCATCTGTTTTTTAGTGTTACCATATATAACCAGGACAGTGTAAATTCTGTCCTTTGTGATAACTTCTTCCTGTTGTGTGTCCATGTTTGTGCCATGTTTCTAGTGAGTATTTATTGCCAATGTGTTTAGTGCAAAGCTAAATCCAGTAATTATTGGAAGAAGAGATCGACATACGTTGAGTCTTACATAGTTTAACCGTTCATGGTGGTTAAACTATGTTAAGAATAAAACAATGTATTTACATGGTTGCTTTGAAGCAGGGGGCCATAAGGTCCCAAGACCTTATTTAGTATTTGCAGTTCTCTTCCACAGCCAAAGGGAGATGTT